TGTTATTATTGCAGGAAGAGCACACATTCATAAGCTAATGGTTTCACAATGCGTTCTTGATGATAGTAATTGAACCAAATGAAACGATGGACAAGCAGATTGATTAAGGAACTCTAGGTAATACTTCAAGCCGTAAGCATTGGCTCAAAAAGTTAATTTGTAAGTAAAAAAATCCTAGAAGAATAGTTCTACCTAAATAAAGTTTACTGCTGCACATGAGCAGATCCACACGAAGCAGAGGGGAGGTGGAGCAGGCCGGTAACCAGGGGAAGGAGCAGAGTGGGAGAAGATTTACACCGCCGTCTCTGCTGGATATGGTGTCTCCACCGCATCTGTGGAGGCGCCGCGGCTCCGCCTCGGATGGTGCTCGTGGCTATGGTGAAGAGGAGGGGCGACGCATGGGCGAAGAGGCAGGCGGTGCTCGTGGCCAAAAAGTGGGTCGTTCGAGCTGCGGGAGGGAGGAGGGGATCGCCGGGAGGCGGCGAGATCGGTGGGCGGCGGCGGCGTCCAGGTAGGGAAGTTGAGGTAGGGCGCTGTGTTTTTTTAGGGGAGCTGCTTGTGAAAATAACGTGTGACGACGATGTAGCTAGCGGATCCGATCCCCTTAAAAAAGACCTAGCTAGCGGATTCCCTTAAGGTAGGAATGGATACGATTGATGTCGTTGATAAATAGTGGTGAATGTTGGCCTAATTTACTATCATCATGCATGAAAATGAATCATCAAGAAAAAGAATACTTCCTATTACTACGCTCATAGGAAGCTTCCTAATCTCTACTACCAAACAGTTTCTGCCCAAACAAGGAAGGAAAGTTATGGATGTGATTCAGAAGGAAACAAACATTATAAAGATTAATTAATTTAGATTTAATCTTTAGAGATTGATTGTGATTGATTTTTTTACATAAAGAGATTACTGAATAATTTGGGTCAGTATGGAAAGTTCTGATCCGTTCAAATTTTTTCGTTGTGTGAGAGGGTGACGCGAAAATAAACCGATGAAGTAGGGAGAGGGGACGAAAAAACCCAGAGAAGATGGGAGGAGGTACCAAAAAAAACCATGGTAGGTGGGACGAAAATAAATCCGGAACGGAGACTACCAACTGAGACATTAGGAGTAGAGATCTATCAAAATTTATCCTTGTTTTTTTTATTGCATCAACTCTGTACTCATGCGCTCAATTGAAGGGATTTAAACACTAAATTCAAACAACATTGCAATACAAAGTTCTTATATGGGGAAAATGACGATAAGCAACATTGCCATACATAGAAAATTGTCACTTGTACGTCTATGTAGCGACTATAGCTAAGGAAAATTGTCGATAAGCGACAACTTCATACATAATAGCTACTCCCTCTAGACCCCTCATGGGTATGCTTCGATGAACTGTTTTGTGTGCAATTTAGTCTCCGTTTGGTGCAAGTGTCTAGTAGTTGATGTGCAACTAGCCGATAGTCGATGTGCAACTTTCCCTCTACCCCGTGGATGTTTTACTGATGCTACCGCCACCCCAAACTACCATCTAATTGAGATGTTCAATTGCGTCTACTGCCCTGTCCAACTGACTATTAGTTGATGTGCAACTTTTCCCTGTCTATGGATGTGTAGTTTTCACTGTTGTTGTCTCAGCCAACTGCCTAACTGTGGATGTGCAACTTTGGATGCTATCCCTATCAACTGCCTAGCAATGGATGTTCAACTTTGGATACTACCCTGGCCAACTGCCCTACAGTCAACGTGCAACTTTCTCCTGTACCTCATGGGTGTGTAGTTTTCACTACTAACACCCTGTCCCAACCACCGGTTGTTAGTGAGATGTCCAACTTTAGGGCCCCACCTAAAGGCAACTTTTCTCTTCCCTCATGGATGTGTAATTTTTACCATCCAACAATCCATGCTAGTGAGATGTGCAACTTTTTCTATTGTCTCGGCCGATTGTCTTGCAGACTATATATGTGCAACTTTGTCTGTTCCCTCATCAAGTGAATCCACACATCCAGAAGTAGCTAGGAAAGGGGGAAAAGTTACACATCGACTACTACGTAGTTGGCTGAAATAACAGACTAAGTTGCATATATAGCTAGTATGGTAGGTGTGTGGGGGGGGGGGTGCTGATAGTGATAATACACATCCAAGACTAGGAAGGAGGGTTGCACATCAACTACAAGTTAGTTAGTTGGGACAGTAGACTAGTTGCACATCTCACAAAATTGGTTGTCATGGTTGCTGAGTGACAACCACATAGAAAATTGGATCATGTGGCTCTAAAATTGGTTTTGTAAAAAATTGCACCATGCAATACTAAAGTTGCATCGTGTAATAGTAGAGTTGCACCGTATAGCATTACAGTTGGCATCAAAAAAAGTTCGTCGTAACATACCCATGTGGGGTCTAGTTCTAAAGATTTCGTTACGGAGATTCCAACGGTGAAAACGGATCTAAATTCGGATGCGCGGTTCGAAAGATATGAGTTTTTAAAAATTCAAAAACTCGAAATAAATGCAAATAGACTTGTTTTTGCTAAACCGAAGTGGCTAGTACAAATGCATTTAATGCCAAAAGCCACAAGCACTAGAAGACAAAAAAATACATGCATGCATGTGAGAGTATGTGGCCGGCCGCTTGAGTCGTCTAACCGGCACGCGGGCACAATCAGGCCCGGCCCTGAGGGGGAGGGGGGCGGCCGCCCCATGCCCCCGGAATCAGAGGGCCCCATTTATGTATGTATGTCATGTATATTACTAGTCGATTTGGCCCAGCACACGGCCCAAACGGGAGGTCGGCAGGCGGCAGGACACATAGCCCTCTGATGACGCATAGACTAGATCGTGCCCCGCGGCAGTTGCCCATCGCCGGCCACGCCGAGAAGCGGAGCCGCAAGGGCTGATTCAATGATTTTTGCCGGCGTCAGCAGACGACAGGCCCCATGATTGTTCTGGGAGTACGTCGGCCACGCAGCCGCCGAGACATCAGACATCCCTAGTCCGCGCACCTTGCCTTCATCCTCCTTCAGTACTTGTGGTAATGCATCTCTCTTATTTCCCCTTTCTGAAAAAAGGAACCCATCTCCAAGGTGCTTCTCGAGACTGTTGCTTCTTGTATTAGCGATCTAGTTGGATGGTACATTGAAACGACAAAGGAGGATTTCTTAAGTATTGTGATTGTTAGGGTTCAGTTTTGGCACTGATTGTGTGTAACTGCTCGCAACTTTGGAGATATGATTGCATAACTTTACATTCTATAGACATTGCCAAGGATCTCTTGATTCTGAATAATGCCCAGAATCAGACGAACTATATGTATATGATTTATCAGTCTCCCAATTAGTCCAGAAATTTTCACATTGTGTTCTGCAATGACCTCGTTTGTGGGCCACTATATAGGAGATTTACATCAATGGAATTTTTAGAGGCCCAAGTGTATTACTAATTGATTTGAACTTCTATGTATATCAGTATATGGCTACTATTTTATAGCTGTGAGCCTGTGACACCACGTCATTGGAAGTTTTAGAGGCCCATGTAAATTGCTAATTGATTTGAACTTCTATGTATATAGAGTACATATTATTTTGGTGGCCAAGAATTAGCTTATATAAATCTTCATTCTTGTAATCAAGTTCATGGTTGTGACACTATGCATTTTCAGGCATTTCAACCGGATGCAATTCCAGTATGTGCACTCATGTGGGAAAAAAATTTAGTTATGCACTCTCAAGTTTCATATTTCCTAGTATACATTGCATGTTTTTGCTTACCCTCTCTATATGGATCTTTTTTATATACTTTTGATTTTTTTTCAGGATAGATTATTGGTGGATAGATCAACTCTTGCACACCTAATATATGGAGTTTTACTTGTGTCCGGCTTCACAAGAGGTGTGTGAAAATTTATCTTTCATCTCAACATCGCCGCTACATATTCCTTGCGGTGAGTAACTTAAGTTTCTCGACAAATTAATTATCATATACTACATAGTTTTTTTTATCTTATACATAGTTGTTAAATGCAATTTAAGCATGCTTATTATTATTTTGATGGTGTACAAACACGTGGTTACCATTTTTAGAAAAGGGCCCCGGGTTCTAGTTTCGCCCCGGGCCCCCGAAATCTCAGGACCGGCCCTGGGCACAATTGTGTATTTCCGTTAATAGAATATACGTGACATGTGTTTGAAAAAAATGTTGAACAATGTAAAGGAATGTTCATGTAGCTTTATAAAAATGTTTATTATCATTAAGAAAATGTAAAACATGTAGTTTTTGGAAAAATGTTACCAGACATTCATTTTTTTAAACATGTATTTTAAAAATTGTACAGAATGTACTTTTTTGCATGAAAAAATGCATCATGTATTTGCAAATATCAAAATTTTATCAAGAATATTTCATGTGTGCGTTAAAAATGTTGATTCGGTACTAAAAAAGTTAGACATGTGTGAAAAAGAAAAAGGAAAACAAAAAAAGAGAAAAACAATCAAAGAAAAACCGCAGAGCACGCGAATACCGGCTAAGTCCTCTCAAGGTTCAAAATAGACCGAGATTAAAGAGTTTGATGTGCTGATTTTAGGGATTGAGATTTCAGGGTTTGATTTAGTTTTTGCCTACAAATTCAAGGTTTGGTTTGGATCTTTTCCGCTGCTCGTTCGCTCTCCAGTCTCCAAAGCTGGTCAGTCCGGTCACAACACAAAATTCCGTTCTGGTGCTGTTGGCTAGCTAACATAAGGGATCACGTTGATGCATCGATTATCCGAGCCGCGGTTGCATGCGGAATCCGAGTGGGCTGGGAAGACCGGAAGTCTCACGTTCTTGGCTTGTTGCGCCTAGATATACAGGCAGAAGCTAGCGCTACCCACCTGCCTCTACTCACGAACCACGATCGAAAAGAGGTGCAGAGCAAGACAACGACGACGATCGAACAACTGCGTGCGGTCGAACAATCTAAGCCAGCTAGCTAGCTTGATTGATTGTAGCTTCGTACGTGTCGTGTGAATAATCATGGAGGTCGATCGATCTATCGAACTGCGTGCGGTTGAACAAGGAGGAACGATGTCGTCGTCGCCGCCGTCGGAGCTGGATATCATGGAGGAGTATGTGGAGACGGTGAAGGAGCGGGAGTCGGAGGCGAAGCTCAAGGACGTGAACTTGGACGATTGGCTCCCCATCACCTCCTCGCGCACCGCCAAGTGGTACTATTCCGCCTTCCACAACGTGACGGCAATGGTCGGCGCCGGCGTGCTGGGCCTCCCGTTCGCCATGTCGCACCTCGGCTGGGGCCCCGGCGTGGCGGTCATCGCCAGCTCCTTCGGGATCACGCTCTACACGCTGTGGCAGATGGTGGAGATGCACGAGATGGTCCCGGGGAAGCGCTTCGACCGGTACCACGAGCTGGGGCAGCACGCCTTCGGGAAGAAGCTCGGGCTCTGGATCGTCGTGCCGCAGCAGCTCGTCGTCGACGTCGGCACCGACATCGTCTACATGGTCACCGGCGGCCAGTCGCTCAAGAAGTTCCACGACCTCGTCTGCAACGGCCGGTGCGAGGACATACGCCTCACCTTCTTCATCATGATCTTCGGTTCCGTCCACTTTCTGCTCTCGCAGATGCCCAACTTCAACTCCATCTCCGGCGTCTCGGCCGCCGCCGCCGTCATGTCCATCTGCTACTCCATGGTCGCCTTCTTCGCGTCCGTGCTACACAAACACCCTGCTGCAGTTGGAGCCGTCGACTACGGGCTCAAGGCGGCGACCACGGCGGGGCACGTGTTCGGCGCGCTCAACGCCCTCGGGGCGGTGGCGTTCGCGTTCGCCGGCCACAACGTGGTGCTCGAGATCCAGGCCACCATCCCGTCCACCCCGGAGCAGCCGTCGAAGAAGCCCATGTGGCGCGGCGTGCTCGTCGCGTACGCCATCGTCGCGCTCTGCTACTTCTCGGTCGCCTTCGGCGGGTACTACGCCTTCGGCAACTCGGTCGACCCCAACATCCTCATCACGCTCGACAAGCCGCGGTGGCTCATCGCCCTCGCCAACCTCATGGTGGTCGTCCACGTCATCGGCAGCTACCAGGTGTTCGCCATGCCCGTCTTCGACATGATGGAGACGGTGCTCGTCAAGAAGCTCAAGTTCGCCCCCGGCCTCCCGCTGCGGCTCACCGCCCGCTCCGCCTACGTCGCGCTCACGATGCTCGTCGGCATGACCTTCCCCTTCTTCGACGGCCTGCTTGGGTTTTTCGGAGGCTTCGCGTTCGCGCCCACCACCTACTTCCTGCCCTGCATCATCTGGCTTATGCTACGCAAGCCCGCCAGATACAGCGTGACATGGTTCCTCAACTGGATATTCATCGCCATCGGAGTTGCGCTCATGCTGTTGTCCCCGATCGGCGGGTTGCGCCAAATCATCCTTGACGCCAAGACTTTCAAGTTCTACTCTTAAGCACACAGTACAAGATTAGATGATTTAGGAGGATTTATTTAGCAAGCACAATAAGATAATGTAAACAAAGATTAAAGTATTATAGTTTTGTTGAGTTAGCTAAGAGAAAAGTGAAGCATGATATAGATTATCAGCCAGCTGCAGCACTAACTCAAAAACATTATGAGAGTATAAGGTGCATCATATATTAACAAATTATTACCTCTTAGTAATTAGCTATTATACATGTTGTTTATTAGTTTGGCGGTAGATAATGTGGCAACTTCATATAGTCGGTTGTTGCCTAGACACATTTCCATCTTTACATGGATATCGTCTCGCAGAAAAAATCCGGTTTAAGAAGAAACGTTGAACATAAAACATAGTGTTTCTTTATCCTTAATGGTCTAAGAGTACAATAACTCCACTAAACAACCAACCGATGGTTGGTTCTTGATATACATCATATTAATGCATGATGATTATAATTATGAAATATCTACATAGTTGCGTGAAAATACAATATGTCTGGGCTCCAAGGAGGCGCCTTCAAGAAGGATACGGCACCGGAGCGCCGCCACCGCCCGATCCGAGGATCAGAGTTTTCCCTGGAGCAACACGATGGGCAGTGATAGTCGCGACGACGCCTTCAAGAAGGGAGCGATCTTCGCCGTCGCCAGTCCGTCCGAAGATAGAGAGGTTTTCACCCCGGCCAACACACACCGCCACCGAACGCCACATCCCGGCTACCACGCCGCCCACACGGTCGTGGCAGCCGGGTAGCTCCGAGGCACAAGCTCTGCCCATGAGCACCGCGCCGCCACCACCAGGGCAGCCGCCCCGGAATCCAAGACCTTGACACCAAGCCCTCCGAGCCCCACCGATAACCCAACCGCAGAGACAGGCGGAAAGGCTCCGCCTTTCGCACCCCTGGCCGGTCCCAGCGCCGAGACCCAATAGGCCGGCGACAAGCCTCCATCGAGCCGTCCTGCGACACCGGGCGCGAGACGAGCGCAGTCCTGCCGCCGGGCGCGAGACGGGCCGGTCCTGTTGCCGGGCGTGAGACGAGCGCAGTCCTGCTGCCGGGCACGAGACCGGCCGGTCCTGCTGCCGAGCGTGAAACTAGCTCAGTCCTACGACACCGGGTGCGAGACGGTCGGTGGACAACAGCCGGGAGAAGGCCAGCCCATCGGCGAGAGAAGCGAACGTACGCCGAGGAGAGGAGTCGAAGGCCGATACAGGTAGCCTACAGACGAGCCGACGCCAGAACAATCTGGCCGCCGCCGCAATCAACCTGCCACCACCACGGCAGCCGCCGGGCACGCACCCGCACAGCCACCGCCACTGCGCCGCCACCCCGACCAGCCGAGGGGGCCTCGGTCAGGGCCGCCGCCCGCAGCCCTAGCCGTCGCGGCCCACGCCGCCGAGAGGCTAGATCCGGAAGAGCCGCCGCGGTCGGCGTCTCCAACCTCTGGCCCGCACCACCACAACCAACTGCCGCGGTGCCACCACCACCTTCCGCGGTCATGGCAGAGGTGGCCACTGGCAGCCCGCGCCGCCCGCAGCCCGTGCCGCCATGAGCCAGATCTGGCCGCGCTGGAGTCGCCGCCGTCTCGGGCACACGCGCCACCCGCCTATCCGCCCACCGCGGGGGGAGGCAGGGATGGCAGGGCGCCGCCCCAGCCCGGCTGCAGCTCCACGACCCGGCCCGGGACGCCAGCCCGCGCCAGCACCGCCCGAGCCGGGAGACAAAGGGGCCTCGCCGCCGCCGGAAACAGCAGGGCTTCGCCCGGCTGCGCCCCTGGGCGGCGGCGAGGAAGGAGGAGGGGCTTCACTTCTTCGGTTCGTCATAAGCGGCTTCACTTCTTCGCTGTGTAACGGTTGAAGCTGAAGGAAATATTCCCTAGAGGCAATAATAAAATTATTATTTATTTCCTTATATCATGATAAATGTTTATTATTCATGCTAGAATTGTATTAACCGGAAACATACACATGTGTGAATACATAGACAAACAGAGTGTCACTAGTATGCCTCTACTTGACTAGCTCGTTAATCAAAAATAGTTATGTTTCCTAACCATAAACAAAGAGTTGTTATTTGATTAACGGGATCACATCATTAGGTGAATGATCTGATTGACATGACCCATTTCATTAGATTAGCACCCGATCGTTTAGTATGTTGCTATTGCTTTCTTCATGACTTATACATGTTCCTATGACTATGAGATTATGCAACTCCCGTTTGCCGGAGGAACACTTTGTGTGGTACCAAACGTCACAACGTAAATGGGTGATTATAAAGGTGCTCTACAGGTGTCTCCAAAGGTACATGTTGGGTTGGCGTATTTCGAGATTAGGATTTGTCACTCCGATTGTCGGAGAGGTATCTCTGGGCCCTCTCGTTAATACACATCACATAAGCCTTGCAAGCATTGCAACTAATGAGTTAGTTGTGAAATGATGTATTACGGAACGAGTAAAGAGACTTGCCGGTAACGAGATTGAACTAGGTATGGGATACCGACGACCGAATCTCGGGCAAGTAACATACCGATGACAAAGGGAACAACGTGTGTTGTTATGCGGTCTGACCGATAAAGATCTTCGTAGAATATGTAGGAGCCAATATGAGCATCCAGGTTCCGCTATTGGTTATTGACCGGAGACATGTCTCGGTCATGTCTACATTGTTCTCGAACCCGTAGGGTCCGCACGCTTAAGGTTTCGATGACAGTTATATTATGAGTTTATGAGTTTTGATGTACCGAAGTTAGTTCGGAGTCCCGGATGTGATCACGGACATGACGAGGAGTCTCGAAATGGTCGAGACATAAGGATTGATATATTGGACGGCTATATTCGGACACCGGAAGTGTTCCGGGTGATTTCGGAGAAAACCGGAGAGCCGGAGGGTTACCGGAACCCCCCCGGGAGAAGTAATGGGCCATATGGGCCTTAGTGGAGAGAGAGAGGGGCAGCCAAAGGTGGGCCGCGCGCCTCCTCCCCCCTGGTCCGAATTGGACTAGGAGAGGGGGGGCGGCGCCCCCCTTTCCCTCTCCCTCCCCACTTCTTTCCCCCTCCTAGTAGGGGTCCTACTCCTACTAGGAGGAGGACTCCTCCTTGGCGCGCCATAGAGGGCCGGCCGGCCTCCTCCCCTTGATCCTTTATATACGGGGGCAGGGGGCACCCCTTGACACACAAGTTGATCCACGTGATCATATTCTTAGCCGTGTGCGGTGCCCCCTTCCACCATAGTCCTCGATAATATTGTAGCGGTGCTTAGGCGAAGCCCTACGACAGTAGTATATCAAGATCGTCACCACGCCGTCGTGCTGACGGAACTCTTCCCCGACACTTTGCTGGATCGGAGTCCGGGGATCGTCATCGAGCTGAACGTGTGCTAGAACTCGGAGGTGCCGTAGTTTCGGTGCTTGATCGGTCGGGCCATGAAGACGTACGACTACATCAACCAAGTTAACGCTTCCGTTGTCGATCTACAAGGGTACGTAGATCACACTCTCCCCCTCTCGTTGCTATGCATCACCATGATCTTGCGTGTGCGTAGGAATTTTTTTGAAATTACTACGAAACCCAACAGTGGCATCCGAGCCTAGGTTTTATATGTTGATGTTATATGCACGAGTAGAACACAAGTGAGTTGTGGGCGATATAAGTCATACTGCTTACCAGCATGCCATACTTTGGTTCGGCGGTATTGTTGGACGAAGCGGCCGGACTGACATTACGAGTACGCTTACGCGAGACCGGTTCTCCCGACGTGCTTTGCACATAGGTGGCTTGCGGGTGACAGTTTCTCCAACTTTAGTTGAACCGAGTGTGGCTACGCCCGGTCCTTGCGAAGGTTAAAACAACACCAATTTGACAAACTATCGTTGTGGTTTTGATGCATAGGTAAGATTGGTTCTTGCTTAAGCCCGTAGCAGCCATGTAAAACTTGCAACAACAAAGTAGAGGACGTCTAACTTGTTTTTGCAGGGCATGTTGTGATGTGATATGGTCAAGACATGATGCTAAATTTTATTGTATGAGATGATCATGTTTTGTAACCGAGTTATCGGCAACTGGCAGGAGCCATATGGTTGTCGCTTTATTGTATGCAATGCAATCGCGTTGTAATGCTTTACTTTATCACTAAGCGGTAGCGATAGTCGTGGAAGCATAAGATTGGCGAGACGACAACGATGCTACGATGGAGATCAAGGTGTCGCGCCGGTGACGATGGTGATCACGACGGTGCTTCGAAGATGGAGATCACAAGCACAAGATGATGATGGCCATATCATATCACTTATATTGATTGCATGTGATGTTTATCTTTTATGCATCTTATCTTGCTTTGATTGACGGTAGCATTATAAGATGATCTCTCACTAATTATCAAGAAGTGTTCTCCCTGAGTATGCACCGTTGCGAAAGTTCTTCGTGCTGAGACACCACGTGATGATTGGGTGTGATAGGCTCTACGTTCAAATACAACGGGTGCAAAACAGTTGCACACGCGGAATACTCAGGTTATACTTGACGAGCCAAGCATATACAGATATGGCCTCGGAACACGGAGACCGAAAGGTCGAGCGTGAATCATATAGTAGATATGATCAACATACTGATGTTCACCAATGAAACTACTCCATCTCACGTGATGATCGGACATGGTTTAGTTGATTTGGATCACGTAATCACTTAGAGGATTAGAGGGATGTCTATGTAAGTGAGAGTTCTTTAAGTAAATTAATTGAACCTAAATTTATCATGAAACTTAGTACCTGATAGTATCTTGCTTGTTTATGCTTGATTGTAGATAGATGGCTCGTGTTGTTGTTCCGTTGAATTTTAATGCGTTCCTTGAGAAAGCAAAGTTGAAAGATGATGGTAGCAATTACACGGACTGGGTCCGTAACTTGAGGATTATCCTCATTGCTGCACAGAAGAATTACGTCCTGGAAGCACCGCTGGGTGCCAGGCCTGCTGCTGGAGCAACACCAGATGTTATG